CTCTCTCTCTCTCTCTCTCTGTCTCTCTCTCTCTCTCTCTCTCTCACTCTGTCTCTGTCTCTCGCTCTCTCTCTCTCTCTCTCTGTCTCTCTCTCTCTCTCTCTCTCTCACTCTGTCTCTGTCTCTCGCTCTCTCTCTCCCTCTCCAATTCAAAATGAAATGTTATTTTCACATTTAAAAGATTGTTGTAGGTTTCCAATGGACAGACTGACGTACTATAGATGGCGTTTAGCAAATATCTCCAAGTACAGCAAAGTAAATTCAAATTCAGCCAATTCAAAAGGCTACCGGTGACCCCTTTATGTATTTAGTGTTATTTACAGCATAGATTTAACCTGTGTTCATCCTACTTATGTGACGAAGGTTAATGTTAAGAGCTTGGCAAAACATACGTCAGTAGAAATATCATAGCATATCTTCAGCATAAGGCAGCTGCTGTATTATTCATAGCCTAACTTACCGAACTAGCGACAGGAATTCCTTATGTCGTTTTTTCTGCTCTGTGCTCAAAAACTGCAGGTGCAGGTTAACGTCACATTAGTGGTGATAGTAGTTTTATGTCGCAATAGATTATATAAATTCAACAGATGATCAGTAGACTCACGATGATAAGTAGTAGTTTCACTTTCGCTTCAGTGTGTTTGTGTCGCAGCATGAAATACTGAGCGATGAACGAGGAGGAGTTTCTTTCCTGTTCCTCCTGTAAACTGTGTTCGACTTGCTCTTCGTGTTTTAATAGTTAGTCGCTCGACAAAACAAATTACAATTAGCGATGATCTCTACCATAGTAAAGAAGTCATATATTCAAATTACATTATTCGTACTAAGTATAGTTCAAATCTATTAACATATTTACTGACATATCGCTAGAGACTTACTGACATCAACATTATAATTCAACTTTATTTGTGCATTTAAGTTCACTTGCAATAGTTCCACTTTAGCACAATCAAATACACCTCAGTATATCTTTATTTGGATTTTAGCACTACTTCCTCACAATTAAAGTGCATTAAGTTCAAAATTAGTTGTTCCAATTTAGCAGACTTTTTCACTAGGGTGCACTGCACTGCAATGCGTGCACGCGATTAGTTGAGGGATTTGATTCAAAAGCCATTTTTGCACATTCAGAACTATTTAATTTGATTTCAGATTGACCCGGTTGAACCAAATTGATTAGATTTGATTAACCATTTTAAAATGCATTTATAGGATCTTTCCCCTGTCTTAGACAAAAAAGACAAACTGTTTATGAAACAAACGTGTGTGTGTGTGTGTGTGTGTGTGAGAGTGTGTGTGTACCTGGTATTTATCACGCTATGGGGACCAAATGTCCCCACAAGGATAGTAATACTAGTACATTTTGACTTTTTATAGCCAATGTCAGTTAATAACACATATTCTCTCGATTTATTTGTTGAATCTAGAATAAGGTTTACCTTATTACTTCCAGGAAACTTCAGTTTATCTTTCCATAAGATATCATTTAACTCAGTCACTTGCATCTATCAATCTTTTGCACTTTATCCATTCATTGTACCCATTTAGTAGTTACATTTACATTTGCATTTAATCATTTAGCAGACACCTTTATCCAAAGCGACTTACAAATGAGAAGAGCAAACAGAAGCAATTCAGACCAATAGGAGGGTAACAGTATACAAGTGTTGTAACAAGTCTCAGTTAGTCCAGCACAGTACACATACATTTTTATTTTATTTTTTTCCAGAAAAAGAGACAAATAGAATAAGAAAATGTTAGCATTAGTTAGTCAAGTGTGTTTTTTGAAGATGGCCAAAGACTCAGCTGCTCGAATTGAGAGCTTTCCACTCTTCGGTCTTCACACTTGGGCTGCCGCGGTATTCTACACAGTTTTATACACACTTGATACAATGTTAATTGGTTCAGCTGACCACACCTTACTAACTCGAGAACAAACGCCACTTGCCACGTGCACAGAGTAAACAAAGATTTCCTAGCAACGACAACAGTGCTAAAATCAAATGAGAAAATATACAACAACTCGAGAACAAACGCCACTTGCCACGTGCACAGAGTAAACAAAGATTGCCTAGCAACGACAACAGTGCTAAAATCAAATGAGAAAATATACAAAAACACTTACAGTATGTTGAACCTGCTGTTGCTTGACTGCTTCTCTCTAATAAATGTTAGTTGCTCTTGTCTATCCTATCTTAATAAAACCCCTTTTATTACACTTGTTTCTTCCTTGTGTTGATAATAACAGTAAGCGACTCTACAAGTTAACGATATCTCTCAAATCCTTCAGATTGGTCAGTCAACAAATTCCTCCAATTTATGTTAGGGTTATGGTTAGGCTAAGCTCCTGGCTGGTACCCCGTGAAATAGTATGACAAAAACTAAATATTAATATTAATATTTAAGCCCAAAGCCATTACACTGGTGGTGCTACTTAAATCTAAAATCGCTACATTTAGTGGTGCCCCGTGTGAGGCTATCTAACCTTAACATCACTACAGAAATGTATACTTTTATTTGGCAAGGATGTGTTAAATTGATTTTAAAAACGCAGTAAAGACTTATACTGTTACAAAATGTTTTATTTTCAATAGAAACGATGGTTATTTTCAAGAGTCATTTTGGTTATGGTTCATTAGATCTAACATTCTGCACACTTTAAATCAGACACAGAGGTCAAGTAGTGTGGTGAAATTATTTGATATTTGCAATACATTATTTAAAATGCAGTTTATAATTGTTCATCAATGCACAAAAATCCATAGCTTTTGTACCATGTTATGTTGAAGCACTATATTTAATGGCAGAAGTAGGGACTGTTTTATTTAATGTTATAAAAATGCTGATCGTGGCTGAGTCTATATCTGGACTATAAATGTTTACCCCAATGCTTTCGTTATTTGTGACAGTTTCTCTGTCAGTAATTAATAAATAAGTAAACATAAAAATACACAAATAAAGACATAAACAACATCAAAAAATATAAAATAATACAAATGTTTAAAAATGGTCTGATAACGTGAGAATTACTTAAAATGTTGAGTAATATTAAATGTAGAATTTCCAAATAATATCAAAATAACTGTCTGATGTGAAATAACAAAATAAAAGCCTCTCATAAACGTACAACCTGTTTTATCTGTAAATTCATATAGTTATTAACAGAAACGCCCTGTTTCCACAGACCAATTTCAATTCAGATTAATAGTCCACCACCCCAGAGCGTAACTCAGTCAATGTCAGGAGTATCTGGTTGCATTACAAAATAAAAGCCCTCCAAAACTCATATATGACCAGTTTTGTCTTGTAAAAAAAAAACAATATATATATATATATTCATGTTCAGATAGCTCTAAAAAGGAAAGTTCCTGTTTCCACTAATCGGTTTCACTTCAGATTGATAGTACACCTTAGCAGAGTTTTAATTCCCTAATTTCAGGACTGTCTGATGTTGCATTACAAAATAAAAGCCTTCCAAGAACTCCTAAATTATCAGTTTTGTCTATGATTTTGGACAGCAAAAGGAAATTCCCTGTTTATCATTTTTCGTGCAAAATGGTTCAAGCGCAACTTTTGAAGTTCTTTAAAAAGAGGCCAACAGAAGGTAGGATTATTCCTTGATTAGAGTTTAAAGACATTCCCCCTGACATGTTATTGTGCTGTATGTGTGACTTGAGGGACTGAGAGACCATAGCAGAGATTACATTATATGAGTATATATGAGTATATGACTCAGACTTTGCAAAAAAACAACACGTATTTAGAGTCCAAAAGCATTCATTGCATGATGAGTTCTATTAGAATGCAGTTAGAATGCCCTTATAATTCAAACAATGAAAGAAAAAATACCCATGTATTGAGTTTTTATGTTTTTATAATCATCGCACAAGCAACGTACTTTCCTGAATATCAGCACATGTACAAACACAAATGTGCTATTCATTTTATACAATAGTGCAGAGAAACACGTGTTTCGTTCCTTGAAGGAATCTGTTTTTGAACGAATCGAGTGAGCCAGTGATTCAACGATCCATTCAGATGGACTCACTTGTTTCGTTTCTAATTTAATCAGCCGTTTTGAATGAATCGTTTGATTTGAGAGGTTCAATAAGTAATTTATTAAAACCGGGACTTGCTGCCACCTACTAGCAGTTTTTACTGTCATATTTATTTATTCATGACAAGCCTAAACCGGCCAAGATGCAGGCACAAAATCACATTCAGAAAAATATCATTTAATTATCTATATTGACCAAAATTCCTCCATTTCAGGCTCCAAAAGGAAAACGGCTCATAAATAAAGCTAATTTTTCATTACATAAAAATCTATTATAATGCAAGCCAATGCAATCCATTATATAGTGCAAGAAGATGGCTTGTTAATTCACTCCTTTCAATTCCAAATAATAATTTCTCTGTCTCAATTTCTACAAGTTGGCTCCATTGTTGACAAAGGGGCTGCAGTTCAGTTTCTCCTGCCCTGGCATGTTCTCACCTCCAGACCCCAGAGGCATGTGAGCTCGGTCGTTGACTCTGATCCACAGCTGCAAACTGCTACATGCAAATCACAGCCTGGGATCCAGAAGAGGTTTCTTTCTGTCTTATAAAGGGAACAGTCTACACATCTCTGATTTGAGGAAACAGTGCATTTGGCCGTTTGATCCTTTTAAAGATGCATATATTGCAAACAGTGGTTTTAGCAAAATATCTCTTTAAAAGGCCCAAAAGTTGAGAGGTTTGTTTGTACACATGCAACAACAACTGACTCTACAGTACTGTATTCACTGAGATTCTAAGCTTTAACATGCAAATAACATTAAAAAATATAGAATAATGCAAGGGTGAATCTTATGGAACCAGTATCATCATTCATCCCAAAGTGAACATGAAAGCAATTATATTATGCAAAGAATAAAAGCTATGTAAAATCATCTATTGTAATGTAAAAATTGTGGTATATTAAAATTACATACTGAAACATTCCTACCCACTGTCTATCTATAACATGATTTCACACTTTTGCCCTGCTGTTTTACGCACATTTGATTTTCTGCAGAACGTGATACACTTCCCATTCAGAATACACAAACCAACTCAATACAAATCAATTATTTTATTGCTTGCTATCCAAGATTTTAAGAGAGAAGTAGCAAATAAAATGCATGTCCTCATTTAATCAAGCTTGTGTGATTTGGTTTTGATCTGAACAGCTGCCGAGGGTGATGTGGGTCAGGACTGCCACCGCTGCTGGTTCTCACTCGTTCAGATTCGCCTCGGCTGACGATACACGCAAGAACCAGAGAAGATTGCGCACTGTTTCATCTCATCTTCTGTAATGCAGTGTGAACAGTGCTTCCAGCATTATCAACGCTATCTTGCTTAGTTGTCGCCTCTGGCTTGCTGTCGCCTCTGGCTTGCTTAGTTGGGGACACTTCATTTCCAGCGATACCGTTGACTTGATTGCAAAGATACTATTTAAACTGAGCTGGATGTTGACATCACTGAATTCAATGATGAACTGTCTTTAACTGAAAAATTAGTGTTTACTATTGTCATTTTGCATTATTGACACACTATTTTCCTAATTAATGCTGTTCAGTTGCTTTGACACAATCTGTA